ATGTGCCTATCATCCCTGTCCTACTGTCTCCATTTATTTGTATCCATTTCCTGTATTCATAATCATGTTTATACTTATATCTGTTATCTTATACATGCTTGACAAAATTATGTATGTATGTATGTATGTATGTATGTATGTATGTATGTATGTATATTTGTTTTCATAGATTTTCATGGGTAGAGGTATGCAAGTTTTGGTGTATTCAGATCTTTTCCTGTGTAAGATTGAGAGTATCTTGGCGACGTTTCGACGAGGCCCCACTTGTCATCTTCAGGCTGGTGCCTTTGGCTTCGTGCCTGTGCGAGCAACACGTGATCTGAGCTGCCGTCTCTCTATAAATACTGGTATTTATACATACATACATACATACATACATACATACATACATACATACACCTACCCACACACATATACATATAGTTTTGGATCATATATAGACTATACCAAATGCTATGAGCATAATTTAGCCCTTCACAGATATACTACCAATATTAATATATTTTATTTGAATCTTAAAATACTTTTAATCATTCATGAACCTGTTGCCCTGTAAATTAAGTATACATTATTAATCCAAGGCATTTGTTCAGAAAAAGAAGTCTATTTAAATTCTAAATTGATTAGAAGTAAAAGTGATTCAGAAAAATGATATACCATGTGAAAGTAAATTAAATTTGTAAAAAATGCAATGCATTGAGGGTTTATTAGGGTTAGCGTTTATTAGATTTTTTTTCACTTACAACATAAAATTGGAATCAAATTTATTTTGTTTTTGTTTTTTGCCAATATGGCAAAGGATATGCTTGATTGGACACACTCCTATCATTAGAAATACAAATACTTACATGCCTAATTCTTGGATTCACTAGGCATTGGGGGAGGAGAGGACAAAAATAACTTAAAATCTTTTCTTACATCAGGGTTAGGAATTTAAAATTCTGACTCTCATAGTAGCTGCTGATAGACCACTACATCATAGAAAATAGAATGCTATGTGCATGTATATTTGTATGTGTATTACAGCTTTTTAAACGCAATAGCAATTACATATGTGGAGTTGAAAAGTGCTACAGCAAGAGCACAATTGTCCTTTTTGCTGTGAAAGGTGGAATTTGCTCTTGTAAAGGCCTACAGAAAATGTAAATAAAGCCATCATATGAACAGTTTATACTGACCTTGACTTTCCACTCTTATTGTACAGTTTTCATAGGAATCCTCTAAAACAGGCCGAATCTGGCCCACAATAGGTCCAGTGTTGTCCCAAGGGGCTGTCCCGGAGATGGCGAGGGACCGGCGCCAGTGGTGGGATTCAAATTTTTTTACTACCGGTTCTGTGGGCGTGGCTTGGTGGGAGTTGCAGGAGAAGGATACTGTAAAATCTCTATTCCCACCCCACTCCAGAGGAAGGATACTGTAAAATCTCCATTCCCTCCCCATTCCAGGGAAGGTTACTGCAAAATCTCCATGTCTTCCCAATCAGCTGTGACTCAGGAGGCAGAGAATAGATGGGGGCAGGGCCAGTCAGAGGTGGTATTTACCGGTTCTCCAAACTACTCAAAATTTCCACTACCAGTTCTCCAGAACTGGTCAGAATCTGCTGAATACCACCTCTGGACTGGCCCATGCCACCTCGGCCCTGGCCCACCCTGGCCCCTCAAGGGCAAACAAAATCCTGATATGGCCCACAATGGGATCAAGTTTGACACCTCTGCTCTAAAATCTTCTTTTAGAAATTCTGTCTAAAACCTCCCTGTTAAAAGTTTCAGATGCTGTAGAAGTGGCCAATATTTTGGCTGATGTGTTTTTCTGTAACTGCCTCCTGTTGGTATTTTGAAACCAATTTAACTCTGTTAGTACCACTAGCTGATTCAGTCAGTCCCCTGACATTTCAAATAACACTGTACTGTGCCCAATTAAAGGAACCCTGTTGATTTCACAGCATTAAAAATATCTAGCTTGGCAAAAGGATAAGGGATGAGAATGCATTTTCTTGATTTCTTCTACTGGAGGCATATTCTTGTTCTAGCTACTTCTCATCTAGTTGTGCATAAAATGGCAGCATAAATTCCTTGTGCAGGCAGTGATTTCATCTCCTGTAAAATGGCCTAATTTTGGGGAAAAAAGGGAAAATTGTAGAAACAGCAGTCCTAAATAATTTACCAGCCAGCTGTTGACATTATATCACTTGATACTTGAAGGTTCCTAGTTCAAGGAAAACAAAATGTTGATCTCACATGGGTCATGGGTGTTCCTCATTTTTTTTTACAAATATTTTTTTCAACACAGGGATAATATACCTATATATCAGGTAGCTGAACAGAGAAACTTTGTGTTTTTTAGGTGACTGTTGGACCCTGATAGTGTTTTGTAACCCTAGGAGCAGAAGGAATCTTACATGTTACAACTAGTATGGAGCAATTGATGCTTTTCAGGTGGGTGGGACTGTACCTTCCCACATTTGCAGTAGATGTTGCCCTTGGTTCTGTTGGCTTGAATTGTGTAGCTAACCTATTTCCTTCAAAGAAAAGTATTTATAATTTGATTATCTGGTGGGACCAAGAAAAAGGGCCTTCTTTTTAGTAGCTCGTTCCCTCTGGAACATCATATCCCAGAGATAAAATTGTATGAAGCAATATTTTTTTCTGAAAGATTCTGAAGACATGGTTTTGTTACTGAACTCAGAGATCACAGGTTGATATGGAGTTGATCAATTGGCTTATTTGATTGTGTTTTTCATGGCCACAGCACTAGAATGTTGCCAGATGAAGGTTGCTTCTCCCATGAACAATATGGTGAGATGTAGATAGAGATTTGGCCATTGGTTGGGTCAACAAAGACTGAGCTAAGTGTTGGAAAAAAAGCTTCAGAACTAGAGGTTTGGAGTTTGTTGGGTAAGCCTTTCTTCTATCCATTTACAAACAAAAAAAATTATATGCTATAGTTTTGTAGGAGTTTTCTTTCTTTTTAATACACAGCAAAAGGCTTATTATGTTGATTTTAAAACTAAAAAAAAAACAGTTTAAGGGTTCAAGTGAATTTGAATGAAAGAAAGTTCTTGAAATTAAAGGGTTCTCTGCCATGGCAAAAATCTCTTTGCTTACATTATGAGCTGATAGCAAGATCTTGAGATCTGGTCACTACAGGGCCAGATGGCCATTTTAAAAGAAATGTTTGACACATAGGTCCAAAAAGTTCATCAGCTATTTATAATGAAAGCAAAATGTGTTATTGGAAAAAGCCCCACTGAATAGAAATGAAATGGACTTTAAAGGTGGATTTAAAAACTACCTCTCATAAGAAAGAGATGGAAATGTTGGATTTACAAGTGAAATTGGATTATAATTTACAAACTAAAAAAATATACAAGTAATAAACCCCATGAGATGGACTTTTTAATATTGAACTATAAAGGAGTTACTGGAACTATTTTATTTGAACTGCAAAAGGACTTTTATGCAGATGACAAGATCTTTGAGGGAAAAGACAAAAAGATAATCAGAAAGCAGATGTTGGGATTTTATTTGTGTGACCTACAGTTTGCTGGCAGAAAATAAACACAAAAATGGTTTATTTGATTATGGTTAGAGTAATGGTTTGTTATCTTTGGTGATGCCTAACTGTTTCTTTTAAAAAAAAAACTGGGATTGGATGATAGCTATTTTAGATACTTAATTGGGTGCAATGGATTAATAATTAAGGTTATTTTTCATAGTGTTTAATTGTTAATTGAAATGGGATTTTGATTATTTGAAGAGAGGGATTAGTGGGAATCTGCTTAAATGGAAATGGAAATATAACTATTTGTTATTTCTGTTAACTCTTCCTGGATATATGCTGATTAATGAAAGTTGAAGATTTAAATCTGAGTTTATAGAAAATGGGGTGAGGCTTGGAATGTAGAAGAAGAGACAGTGATAAGAGGTTAATGTTCTTCCCCCTCTTTTTTATATATTTCTGTAAAAGGTATATTCTTATTTTTTGATATAATCCTTTATAAAATTGTTGAAAAAAAATGGGCATACTAAATGTTAAATACTGCATACTAAATTTGAAAAATGATATTATGATAGATCATGATAGAAGTAACCAAAGAAATATTGCAGTAGAATGTAGCTTTGTGATGGTGTGGGATTTGTTGAATGTAATTGTGAAGACTGCATCATTGTTCCCTTCTACAAAGAAAAAGATTGAAGGAATTAATGCAAAAAACACAGGGAGATTATTTTATTAAATGTAATGTCAATGATGTTTGACAGAATTTTGAGAAAAAAAATACAAGGTGACAGTGAGCAAAATCTGGGAAATGCTTTTTTGACTTTAAGCCAGGCATGGATCATGCAGGCCAGATTTTGCATTTCAACGAACTATTCAGTAATGTATTAAAGTAAAAAATATTTTTCCATGTTTGTTGATTTAGAGAAAGGTGTTAAAATTAATAGGCTTGAACAATGGAGATTTTCACTGAATGCAGTAAGAGTGGTGTATGATAGAAAACTTTATTCAACATTGAACAAGTATTACAACGTGAAAGTGTGATATCTACATGGTTGTTTGATGTATTTATGAGTAAATCTAAAAGGGATGCTTGTGTCATTAGAGATGTGTTGTTAGATGATCCAAACATGTGTGTACATTAGTTTTCAGATGATGTCATGTTGCTGAGAAATGATTTGCAGCACATATCAAATAGACTGTATAGTGCAATGACTATAGATCTGAAAATAAATTTTCAAAGGTAATTATGTTTGATAGGGAAAATGGAGTAAACTATTACAATTAATACAGAAATGACAGAAAACTAGAGCACATTGATGTAGTTGTGTACTTTGGTAGAAAGTTTCCTAAACATAGAGCGAAAATGGATAGAGATTTTTAAGATGTACAATGGCTGCTAACATTTAGTGGATAGCATGTAGCTTGTTGTGAGACTCAAGACTGCCCTGTCTTGACTCTTTGATATTCTTTTGTTTTCAAAAGAAATTTGAATTAGCAGTAAATTTGGGGTTTTAAGGAGAGAAACAGGCATTTTTATTCTGAAATGGGTAAGGAGGAAGAAATGTGGTATTTTCGGTGTTCCCAGATTCTAATTCATTTTATCCATGGTGATGCTGGGCCAGTCATTGCTTCTTAACAAAATCAATTGTACAGGATTGTTGTTGATCTAAAATCGACCAAGGGGAAGCCAGAAAAGGAGACATTATGATTATGATCTTGATCTTGTTTGAAAGAGAAGGAATGTAAATAATGATAACTAGCAATCACTCAATATAATACTTACTATATATTCTTACTTTCTATTTGCCTGAAAGCACCTGAAAGTTAACTTTATTTGTTTCTTTTGGAATGACTACATTCTAAAGGCTGTAGCTATGAAACTTCAAGCTCCAGCATGTTTTCTTGGAAGTCAACTTTAGTAGTTGTAATAGCATTTGATTTCTTGGATAGAGGAATGAACTTTCACTCTATATTGTATGCTGAAGCAATAATTGCAAATACTGGGAAACAGCCTGTCTTTATAATTATAGACAACATGTCCCATGAGAGACAAAAGGTTCAGTAGGAATCTCCACCCATTTTAGAGAGTAATATTGTTCTTGGTTTGCAGGGGCTGAATTACTTCCATGGAAATAGAGATGTCAGGCCCTAATCTTTAAGGGAGGTTTTCAGAAAATTCTCAAGAACTATTTTATTTCTAAAAAGGTCATCTGCTAAATTGTAGTCAGTAGTAATTAAGTGTCAGTCATCCATCTGAAAATAGGAATGACCTACAACATTTTTACAGGTAGATGGGAATGTAGAATTCTTTTAATGAAATACCCAGAAGAGCTTTATCATAAATCCAAAGTATTTCAAGATGAATTTCCATGTGAGAATGCCCTTTTGTAAAATTGCATTTCACACCCACCCTGCATTTAATATCGTAATTGCTACTCATTTCATTCTCAGCATTCAGTTATTTCTTTCCTGGATCCCCATATTGTTGGAAGAGAAGAGAGCCAATTCATTAGCGTAACAACAGATTTTGGTTTTTGCAATATGATTTTGAGAAGAAAAAATCTTCTCTTGCAGGAAGTCCAAAATGAATTGGCAGCTAGTAGTTTCAAACCAGATATTCAGTGGTGGAATAGCTTCTGGAATAAATTTTCCATTTCATAAGACTAGATCCTGAGTTGTGTGAATGGAATATTCTTCACATGTTGCAATTTTCTTGTTTCTTTTTCCTTTGTGCAGCTCCCAAATACATCCCAAACCCCAAATATTGGAGATTGAGGGACCTACAAAATGTCATGGAATATATAGCACATATAACCAAGAGAGGATGATAAATATTAGAAGAGGAACTGACTAAAATACAAAATTTGGAACAAGAACCAAAATTTGTACAAATGAAGAATAGAGAAATTTATTTATTTTGGATATTTTTAATATGTTTATTTGTAAAACAGAGTTCTTTCCTATTTCTGAATTGTTTGCAATTGAAAATATCACATTACTGCATCCCATCCAGTACAATTATTTATTATTTAGTGCTGAAGGCAGTTTATTTAAAAGCTAAGACTCAAAACTATTATTAAAATATAAAATATCAAAAGCAATCCATTGAATACACAGAATATTTTATAGACTTCTGCTGGACTAAACTTTTGCATACATTTATCATATGATACATATTTTTATATCTCCTTGATGTTTTTTTAATCTGTGAACTTTTACATCAACATTTGTGGAAGTGTGAATACCAAAGAATAACTGTTTCATCAACTTTGAGAAGTGCAAATTTGGCAGGCTTGTATAAAAATGGGCACTTAATGAAATTCTTAAGCATCTCTAGTGAAAATGTGCGTATTCAATCCCATCTGCTTATAACAGGCACTTCACTCTCACAATAAAAGACTATCGTCTTTATTCACTGAGCAAAAAAACTTTTCCCCCTCCTTTTTTCTTTCTTCCTCTTTCCAGTCTAGACTAATCCTGACCCAGAGAAGGCAGTTTATAGGAGTTCAAAACATAGGAAACAAGCAGAGTAGATTTATGTGTGAGCATAGACAATGAGGAACCACCACCCTAATCTAACTCAAACTATACTTGTTACAAATGCAACTGGAAGAGCAAATGAAGGAAACTGGGGAGAGAGTTTCTATTCCACAATGCATCATGAAGATAAAAAGTTAATGGACAGGATAGTTGAAATTATTCAAGAAGAGGCAAGGAAATAAAGATAATATCACAGAATAGAAAAACTGTCTTTGGCAGAGGAAAACAGGTAGAAGCAAGACAATCAGGCACACTCATTGCCAGTGAAATTCAGGAACCAGTTCTAGCTGCACTGCTAAATGATGATCAATAGCCATCTGAGCAAATGATATCACATATCATTATAGAAGATACTTTGGCCTCCATGGATTGAGTCTTCCTGAGAAGAAAAGACATGTTATGGCAGTGTGTGATTCCTTCTTAAAAACAAACCCACGCAGCTCAAGATAATATTTGAGGAGGTATATGATTTTCTAGGTGCTTACATAAAGGACATAATATTCAATATTATATTATATAATATTATTCAAACCCATAGCAACCATTCTTTCCTCTTGATTCATGGTGGAATGAATGACAGCCAGGAGGGATCTTTAAAGAATGATCAGAGAATATGAGGCCTTGAAATGTAAGGTAAAGGAACAGCAGCACTAATATTTTTTTTGCAATTTTTTTTTTTGCAATTGAGCATCTTGGTGAAAAAAGAGAAAATTGGATGCTGGGAAACAACAATTGCACAAGTGTATACCAAATCACCAAAAAGGATTTGTATTTTACAATCATGGCTTATATTATCTTTATTTCTGGGAAGAGATGGGCTATATCTTACAATGTTTGTCAGATGCTTTATTGATTTCTTCAGGAGGACATTAAACTAAAACAAAGAAGAAGGGCAGCAAAAACCCATAATCCAATACACACCCAAGGATTAAGGACAAGAAAGCACAACGCAGAGTCTGGAAGTCAGAAAGGGCAGAGTTTTAGGAAACTACAACAGAGAAGCTAGTGAGGTGGTGCTCTTCAGAATTTCAACTGTCTCAACACTAAAACACTCTCAGAAAATGACTTAGGAAAACTACAGATCCTTCCTGAGGAAGACCATCCTATTATGACTGGCAGCAGTTAAACATGGTGGACAATATTCATGGCTGGTACATAGCACTGAAAGGTTTCAGAAGGGGAAAAAAATCCATCAAAAATCCAATAAAAAAATAAACTTGCACAGAAATTCAGAAATTAGAGGATAGAAATCCCACTGAAAGTAATAAAAGGAGACAATACAAAAACGAACAGACAAGAGATACTGATGTTGCCCTACATCAACTGACCAGTCTTTCAAAAAGGTAAGGAATAATGAACATTTCATATTTCAAATTGTCCTGATAGCCTCTGGGAATTTACTTCTGCCAAGCATCAGAGATCCATCAAATTCCTGCCTTCTTTTGTTGATAGTCTGATTTCTCAAAAGATGGAAGGAAAAAGAAAGGGGACTGCTATGCCGGTCTTCATCAATAGAGAAGAATTGATGTAGAAGTGTGAGAGACTCATTCCTTGGAGAAAAATGATCAAATTATCCTTTATTATGTTCATAATAAAGAAATAATAGGCTGCATTGAATATTAATTGATAAGCAATTTTAAGGCACTCAAATATGTAGAATCTGTCTGTTCAATATATGTACACCAAGAGAAATATTGTGGATCCTCCTACTCTAATATAATAAAAAGTGGAAAGGCTTTTTCAGTTGTAACTCCTCAACAGAACAGTGAGAGCCAGTGGTTCTATAAAGTGCTTACGGCTTTATCCATGTCCATAGAGGAAGCTTAAAGTCCACCTTCTGCTATGGAAGCTTATTGAATGACTTTGGGCTGGTCACTGACCCTCAGCCCAATTTCCCTCACAGGGCTGTAAGAACAAATTGGAGGATGAAAGGTAGAATACATTTTTTTTAAAAAAGCTAGTTATTTATCAATATAAAATTACATCCAAAAGTAACAAAAAAGATTAAGAAGATTACAGAATCAATGAGTCTCAAAATAGATAACGTCTGATGTAAAATAAAAATAATATTGTATCTACAGCTTTTCTATCATTGTTTGAAATGTTGAAGATACAAGAGTGTTGGGATCCCAGCTGTTTTATACAACAAAGTTTTTGTTCCCACATTGTTATATGCTAAACTATGCTTCCAGTCATTGCTCTCATGATACACTGATCCTTCTGCTGATTATTCAGAGGCGCATTACTTACGTAGCATGTATAGCTGATTCTTCTCTTTAATTGTATTAGTTGTCTGTTCTTTTCCTTTATAAAACAAAGGCTATACTTTTATTAATCATTCATGTAGACTATACTTGTTTCTGGTGTCAGTTCTGTTTCTAAGCCTTCTTCTCTATGCCCTTGCCTTGTTCTTTTTGCCTGATGTGATGTTGAAGCAGCAGCTTTTCCTTCTGTTTCTGACATGGAGACCTGAGATGCTGTCTTCCCCAGTGTAAGAGCAATCTAATATTTTTCGAAGCTGACTGGATCAGGAAATCCTTAGTCAAGCACTGTATGCTGAAATCAGTGGCTTACTGCTGCTGCTTTCACACTGAGCCTTAACTTCAAAGCATCTGTATTTATCTGTTCCCATGGAGATAGGCACCCAAGCATTATGTCATAACAAGCAGGAAGCACTAACAGGAGATGAACTGGTAAGGTGTAAGCTGTGACTCATACCTGGAGGGTATTTTTTGCTGGCAGAGTAGCTTTGATTTCCAGGCTATTTTCATAAATACAAGTGTAGATCTACAAATTAATTCTCCTTTGGTTTTCTAGTTATACTGCTGCTTCTGGCCAAGGATTGATGCTCTTTCTCTGTTGAACAACAATAATAGATACATTCCTAAAACTTCATAACTTTTCCAGGTTTTCCTATATTACTGGTTTCTTGTAGGATATTTTGTAGAGACTTTTACTTAGAAGGCAGTGGCCTCTATTAACAGAGTTTATTGTGCAGTAAATAGTGAAGAATCCAGTTAGCAGCCATCAATTGACATTGCAGAGGTAACTCAGACAAGCATGACAAACTTGGTGAAAAGGCAAACTCAAAACAAATGTACCTACAGGAAGGCAAGGACAACATACAGAGAACAGTGCTTCTAGAATTCTTTGCAACCCCTTAATAGTAGCCTTGCCTTGGAGAATTTGAACAGAGCCATCAATGCTTTTCCAAGCCTAATTGACTCTTTTATAGACTCTGGGATTATTTTTCAGGACTTTTTCTTCAAAGCATTTGGCTAGAGTTCAGAATCTGGTCCATTTTAAAATTTGATCTTTCTTTTACCAGCTTTTCCCCTCATTCTTCTTTTAGTGAGTTATCACCCTAATGGACAAATAGACAGCTGGATAAAGACTTGAGCTCTTTTACATAACTTCTTTTCAATATGCCCATTGAGTTAAAAATTTGTTTTTTATATATAAAAAAGTGTCTGTCCTTTTCTTGTCTCTTTGTCTATATTTCTGGTATAATAAAGCCTTACTATCTCAAGGGGATTCACCTGATTAGTCCATATTCCACTAGATAGATTCAGATAGATTCTTTCTCTCTAAATTATCTGTCTGTCTGTCTGTCTGTCCGTCCGTCCGTCCGTCCATCCATCCATCCATCCATCCATCCATCCATCCATCCATCCATCTCTAAAGTTCCATCTCATACCTAAAGGTATGAAATTTCTCCTGTGAAGGATGTAAGAATCAGAACATTTGTAAGATTGAAGCATAGAAGATACTTATTCAAGCCTATATACAAGAATCTAGTCAACTAAAGCTCAACACTAAACTGGTGCCAGATAAAAATCAACAGAACTCAGGAGGTGTTGGATTTGGAGTGCTTGTGGAAATGCAACAGCATGATGACATGCTTAACTCTGCTCCACTCTGAGACTGGTCTTCTCATACAACTCCTGTTATCTCTGTATGCAATTACACCACTAGGTATTATAACCCCATCCATAAATGCATACTGCTGCCTCCTCTCATCCCCTATATATCCCTCAAACTTTTACACTTCATTGCCTTTCCACCTTTTGTTGCCCCATTCTATCTCACCCTCTTCTCCCCAAATCCCCATAGCAGTCTCTTTTCAACATTCATCCCAGTCAACAAAAAACCCCATATCTCTCTATCTCACTCTTTGTCATTTACCCATCCCCATTCTTAAACTCCAGTCATTCTCTTTTTCATCTTTCTTTCTACTCTGCCTCTCTATGCTGTCTCCCATCCTTAAATTCCATCCTTGCCTTCTGCTGTCTTTGTCTCCCTATCATATATTGCTTGGTTAGATCTTCCTCTTCTCTTTTTTCTTTATTTCCTGTTCCTGAACCCTGAAAAGTCAGTCTGGCCTGGTTTCCTTTGTTAGTGTTCAGACAATGAAATAACCTTTTGCTCTTAGGATAAATATAATTTTTGTAATACTGATTGTACACTGTTTAAAACTGATTACAGGGAAAAGTAATGGGTAAATTGTTTCACTGATAGATAGACTCTTTTTAAAATAGTTTTTCATATAGAGAAGACGATGAGGAAATGATGGAATGTTGGGTGGTTTTTGAAAATTCATAAAGGACATGGTTTTTCTGGAATGAGAAAAGCTATGTGCATTCATGTATGCCAATTTCTTATTTTGTTAACAGACAGCTAGTGGTGATCAGGTCTCTCTTTCTCTCCAATCAATGACTGTAATTCTGATTGATTTGATTATGTACTTGTGAAAGAGACAGACCAATATTTAATTTTATATATGAGGTACACTATCTGAGAGGCCATTATGGAAATTAAGAATAATGTTTTAAAAATTGATTTTACTTCATTAAATCTACCACTTCAGTAATCATATTTCACTGAGATTTCTACTTGAAATGGGAAAGAAATTAAAAGGAGAGGGTCTGAATGGGAGGAGAATTAATTCTATTTCAATTAATTAATCTATTAATCTTACTGCAGAAGGTTTAAAGGGAGATGGTCTTAAATATTCATATTCTGTATGTTGATTTTTAGTTTTAAAATGTTTTTGCAGTGGTTCATTGCTTCAGTGAAGCCCCTGATTTTCTATTCAAAGGCATACGGAATCCTCAGTCCAGAGGAAATTGCACAATAGCTTGACATAAATTATATTATTATACACTAAGTGGAAAAATGTTATAGAAAATATAAATAGATGTTTTTGTTATATGGTCTTCCACCTTATTAGTATGTAATAAATGTACTTACAAGTGTTACTTACCGTCATTCTCTCTCAATCTTGATTTGACTTTTAATAAAGACAATTCTTTATAACATAGAAAGCATTCATATATTTAACTTTGTGACACTTTTCTCCTGAAATCTAATAAATTAAAACAAAATATAGCATATTAAATGCAAAACAGTTAATTATGTCTGTGTGACTATATCTTTCTGAGGAAAGACTTCAAAATGTGAATTCCTCCTCTCATTTTAAGCTGGGTCAAGTTTTCTTTGATATAAACCTGCCTGATACTAAATTTAAATACTGAACCATACCTTTGATGGCTTCTGCTCCAGCTATGAGAGATGAAGTAATTCCATCTCCCCCCAAATGACCCTGATGGGAACTTCCAAATTCAAATAAATTTGATATCAGATACATGTCAACCTGGGGTACCATCTTGGTGAAACATAAGGGCCAGTTTGGTGGTGGTATTGTAAATTTTAGTCCCACTTTAGGCATGAAATCTGGTTGGGTGTCTTGAGCCAGTCACTCTCTCTCAGCCCAACCTACCTCACAGGATTGTTGTTGTGGGGAAAACAGAAGAAGGAAGGAGTATTGTGTACATTCACTACCGTCAATTACTTATAAAATAATAAAGGCAGGAGAAAAATCTAACAAATAAACAAATAAATAAAATAAATATGTAATAAATTTCATTCATAAACTGCACAAAAAATTAATCTGTTTATGCAATAGCTGTGGTTAAAACTAACCTGATACAACATACCACATACAGTCAGCTATCATGCTTTTCTAAATGATACTATAATATTGCTAAAAGAATATGTGTTTTCAGCATTAAATTAAAAAAGATTCTTGCCTTTTAGTTAATGCGGATTATCCAAAGTTTATTTCAGTCCTGAAGATTTTCTATATTAGCCTTTATTAGGTGAAAATTTCTCTGAATCCTTTCTTGCTATGGTTCAGTATGATGAAGAAGATGAAGGAACACCATCCTTAAAGCAATCTAATCTATGGGACTCTTAATGATTTACATAATGAAGAAAATAATTTTGAAGTATGGCTGAGACCCATTATATGCCTGATCAGTTTATGCAATAGTCTATGAAATAGAGCCATGTAAGTTATAGTAAGGCTCAGGATAACCTTGACAGAATAACAGCCATGCATTTTCAACACGAGTCTCCAAAATATCTGTGTATGTATTGGAGAATAATTGCAGGTTATCTTGAGAGACAAAGATATTGCTTTACATAATAAAGATGGAAATAGGGAGGCAACCATTTTCCTTATGGAATGGTGTGTTTCAGAAATATCCACTAAAGGTTGGAGACAATATTCACTTCTCAAAGGTTTCTTTGGTGATGTTCTGTCCCCGTACCACACACACATCCCCACAGACGGCCCGGAATTAATAAGCCACACGACAAAACTCTTTGAAGATAAAGCTGGCAGCAACCCAGTGGCTAGCTGCCAATTCAGACTTTACTCACACAAAACAAAGATTAGACTGCAAGCATTCCGATAAAACCGGCAGAGTTTCAACAATACAAGGATTAATCCAAATGCAGTCCGATAAAGCAGGCAAAGTCCAGTAACACAGAGATCATGGATTATTTCCAGTTTTTGCTCGTCACAAACTGAACTGGCCACCACAACCACATTTATACCCTGTGGGGTGTGGTCCAGTGACTCAGCTAATCTCTGGCATGCCTTCCCCTCTGCTGCACACGCTTCTTCCTGCGCCTCTGCCGAGGGTCCAGCCAGCACTTATCTTCTTTGTCACTGTCCACCTGTGGCTGCGGGGACGTGCTTGGCTCTGAGCCTATCATTTGGCCTTCGGTGTCCTCCGGAGGCATTGCCAGAGAGGAGGGTCCTGGAGAGGGAGGCCTTGCCAACTCCTCTCCCTCACTCTGAGTCTGCATCTGTCGAGAGCCCAGGCACAGGCAATGGAGCCACAACAGGTAGTTACATGGGCACCCAAGAAAGTTCCAATACAATTGTAAAAGACTTAATATAATGACTGTGTGCACCAGAGGTGGGTTGCTCCCGGTTCGCACCGGTTCGTAAGAACTGGTAGCAAAAAATTTTAGTAGTTCGGAGAACCAGTAATAAGATTGGCTGGCCACGCCCCTGAACTGGTTCCCGGCCGAGTCACCGCTTGCTTACCCCGCCCACCATCATTGCATGCATGCAGCCCCGGGACTCTGCCCTTTGCCAGCCAGGAGCGCTGCCGTCAGTCACTCCCATGCACCCTTCTGCCTGCCTGCCTGCCTGCCTCATCACTGCCACCATGAGGAAAGGCCCCGAAGTTACGCTGCCTGGGATCCACGCTGTAGGGAGCAGCCAGGTATGGCTGGGGGGACGCTGCCCGGAGCTGAGCTCAAGGCTGGCAGGAGGAGGAACGTTGCCTCTTAGCCGGCTCAAACTGTCTGCTGCCGAAGCCTGCCACCGTCCCCTCTCCCCTGCCAGCTGCTCCTGTGAGAGAACCGCTGCCACCAAGGGCGAGGGGGCGGTGGTGGCAAGGATGGGCCGCCGGGGCTTTCTTGTCTCCCTGCCCGAGCAGACTTCTGGCATAGCCCCAGG